AACTTGCTCCTCTCAGTGAACATTCCGTGGTTTTGAATGGTATAATTGTGTGACAATGTGCAATTAACACAGCTAATGTGGTAGGCTACATAAACTTATCTAGCTTCTTATCGGTGTAAACATTCCCAGTTGATTGACTCTACATGTTATACATTTTTCAACCTCTATCGTGTTGTCCTCAAAGGTGGATTTATTACAAAAACATTTTAATCCTTAAAGGGGTCATATGATGCTGCTAAAAAGAACATTATTTGGTGTAATGAAATGTTTATGTGGTTTAAAGTAAAAAAAACATTATTTTCCACATACTGTACATTATTGTTTCTCCTCTATGCCCCGCCTTTTTGAAACAGTAGATTTTTACAAAGCTCATCGGTCTGAAAAGCGAGGTGTGTTGTGATTGGCCAGCTATCCAGTGCGTTGTGATTGGCCGAATACCTCAAGCGTGAGACGGAAATGTTACTCCCCTCACATACTGTTGATGCCGTATCCGGCCGGAGCGACGACACAAAAACATTCAAACCCATTATAAACTAGGCATTTGTTGCATCCAGTGGGGACATAATTACTGATTATAATGACTTATACTGTCTTTTTACGCATTGCGTTGCATTGCATCGTGCCGCGTAAACATAAAACTCTGTCTGCATTTGTGATCAGAGAAATGACAAACAACAAGTGCTACTCTACTGCCCAAAACTCGCGTTTGAATCATCAGAGGCAAATCCTTTAAATGAAAACGTACTTACGTGAGTCAGAGCTGCCGGCATTTTAGTCTAATGTTACTCTCCCAGGATCAGTAAACAGTCCTCCATAAAATGTGTTGCACACATCTGGATATTTTGATTAAACTGTTCTGGAACAGTGTTGTAAATAAGACTTAACCACTGATTTGTAGTCGTGTCCTTTTTTGGAAGACCAAACAAAGTAGTTTCGCTTTCACAACGAAAAACACAGAGGCCTAGCGTGAGGGGAAGCCCCGGCTTAGCGTGCGCTGAGGCCGGGATAGAGTGAACCGAAGCGGCGGTGTCGAGAACGGATGCGACGAATGAGCGGCAACCACATGTGACGGACCCCGGGCTGGACTCCGCTTCGTCCACTGTGAAAGTTGATGTATTCCCTCAGCGACCAGCACGGATCAGCTCTAGCCATGACGAAGCGGATATCGTCCTCTTTGGAAGACCAAACAAAGTAGTTTTGCTTTCACAACGAAGCACACAGCGTCTTCAGGACGTGGCTGCAGCGTTAACAATACTACAGCGAGAATAAAAGTTACGCCTTCTTTCTTTGTGTGAACATTTGGGTGGCGTTATGCAAATCTTCCCTCATCGTGAGGTAGACATGTGGGGGCGTGTTAGAACGAGACGTTTTAGGTAGGCATGGTTGACTCTCAACTTTTATAAAGAATATCTCTTTGGATTTGAGACTTTAGTCTTTGCAACTTTACAGATCTTCTTTATGCACCAAAAGCTTGTCACACTCCAAAGAGAAAGGAAAAATTGAAATCGCATCATATGACCCCTTTAAAATTTGCAAATCCACCTTATTTTGCATCGCGGAAGTAGGCCAAGTACGAAACTCCCAATTCATTAGCCGCTCTACAAGAAGAATAACAAAGTGCAGTAAACGGCAAAACTATTTGCTCAAGTGTTTATAATTAGGAAAATACATCAAAATAATATATGAAATGCCAGTTTTCAATACCTAGAAGCAAAGCGAGTTGCTTTGCTGTTTTTTTAACAGATAAAAATAACTAACTTTAGAAGCGAATATGACACCGGAAGCCCTGCACATTCAAGTTGGCCACTTCCGCTCTCCAAAGGTAAAAATAAGACATTTGCTTTGTTTAGAATCCTCATGTTCATGTTTTGTGTTCCACAAATACAGCACCATGAGGATGAGTAAAGGAATTCAAATTTTTTGTGAAATATTTCCGAGTTTCAGAATGATTTCCCAAAGGTTCTGCTTTCGTTCTCTACGATATTCGGCCGCATGCCATACAGGTGTTGTGGTCACAAGGCGTTAAGTTTTGTTTTAGTGTTAAGGATATGTACTTCATTCCAATTACTAAAAGAACCAAACGTTTCAGTCTTTGGTCGTGATGGGCCATGAAGTTTCAGTGAAGGGTTCAGTGTTGCCAACTAATTTTCAGAGAAAGTTGCTAAAGGAAGGTCGATTTGTTGCTAAAAGTTGCTAAATGACGTTGTGATGGCATTGCTCAATGACGTCATTGCGTAATCACGACGCAAAATTGTCACCTCATCAAACCTCAGCAAAAAATAGATTTGAGATATTTTTAGTAGTTTTTTTAGTAGCTAGTAAACTCTACACATTCTCAACAATTATGCTTTAAGCAGTGTATTAGTAGTTAGTTAGTATGCTACACTCCATGAAACGTCTGTAAAAATAAGGCACAATCTACTGTTAATATGAAAGAATTTTCCGTGATGGTTTTTTTACCTGTATTTTAAATTACGCATTGTGTTTTCGGGTTACAGGGTTACAAAGGATGACGGATAATGTCCTGAAAGAGTTTCCATTTTTCTAACAGCATACTAACTGATCAACAATCGCAGGTACAAGCTACTAACAAAGTGTATCATAAATGAACACTTATTCAATTATCAAATTATTCAATTATTATTATTATTAAATTGAACAATTGCAAATAGCAGCTAACTCAATTCTCGTGATGTGTGTGCTGCTAGGCATCTGTGGTTTCCTCTTTTTGTGTGATTTGGATGGAAAATGTGTGCCTTTTTTTTGTCTGAGTCCTTATCAAAAGTTGCTAAAAGTTGCCAAATAATTTTTTTAAATTGCTCAATTTGTTGCTAGGTGCTTTTGGAAGAAAAAGTTGCTAGGGTAGTCTGAAAAGTTGCTAAATTTAGCAACAAAATTGCTAAGTTGGCAACACTGAAAGGGTTTGATTTTCAGGGCACTCAGTAATGACCGGAGGCCCTCGTGTGGCCATGATTGTGAGAGCATTTAATTTGCTTGCCTTGAAAATTAAGTAAATTACTCATGTGTAATAATGCCAAATAGGCTATAATAATAATGAGCGATACCCTTTTTCATTTTGGAATGAAATGTTCTAGTGAACAAAAATTATAGGCCCTATTTGTAGGTTGTAAACGGGTACATTCGTATTTACACTGAGAAAAGTAATAGCCTACATTTAAATATTTAGCAGTATTTCTCGATTTTAAGCTTCTTTTTAATAGGAAAAGCGCATTTGTGCAACCTTTGAGAAACACTTTTATTTGTATCTACCCTGGAGAGATTTAAACTGTATAAGTAGGCCTACAGTAACTCGTCACATTGTTAAGAGGTAGCCTACATGAAGACTACATTTTACACGTACACCAACATGAGATGCAACCTTAGACATAAATTCACACAGTTTCTCAAAGACCAGCATGTGTAATCTGATAAGAACCTGAAAAAGAGCATGTTTATTGAGAGCAAACCATAGGAGTTAAGATTTTCACGTAACCTCAATTCGTAGCTGCCAACTCGCACGTAAAATGCTTAAGCTTCTGTTGCAGAATGCACCTTTTAAAAGTACATTTTACAAATAGCCTACATTTGCAATTTTAGCATGCAATTGTTTTTAATAGGTAGGTAGGTGGATGGATGGATGGATGGATGGATGGGTAGGTAGGTGGATGGATGGATGGATGGATGGATGGGTAGGTAGGTAGTTAGGTAGAAACCATAGAGCAAACCATAGGAGTTAAGATTTTCACGTAACCTCAATTCGTAGCTGCCAACTCGCACGTAAAATGCTTAAGCTTCTGTTGCAGAATGCACCTTTTAAAAGTACATTTTACAAATAGCCTACATTTGCAATTTTAGCATGCAATTGTTTTTAATAGGTAGGTAGGTAGGTGGATGGATGGATGGATGGATGGGTGGGTAGGTAGGTAGTTAGGTAGAAACCATACAGCAAACCATAGGAGTTAAGATTTTCACGTAACCTCAATTCGTAGCTGCCAACTCGCACGTAAAATGCTTAAGCTTCTGTTGCAGAATGCACCTTTTAAAAGTACATTTTACAAATAGCCTACAAGCCTACATTTAGCATGCAATTGTTTTTAATAGGTAGGTAGGTGGATGGATGGATGGATGGATGGATGGGTAGGTAGGTGGGTAGGTGGATGGATGGATGGGTAGGTAGGTAGGTGGATGGATGGATGGATGGGTAGGTAGGTAGGTGGATGGATGGATGGGTAGGTAGGTGGATGGATGGATGGATGGGTGGGTGGGTGGGTAGGTAGTTAGGTAGAAAGCAAACAAG